TCGACGTTCGACGTTCACGTTTTACAGATGAAAACGTCGGCCGCAACCTCGCTATTATTTAACAATTTCTTGATGATTTTCTACTCAGTACTTTGAACTATCCTTTTCTTTTATTTTTCTTATTTAAAGACACCATGTTTTTGTCATGGGGGACATTAGGATTTTTAAAATTCTTTGGTGGTTAATACAGTATTTTATCCAAGTTTGATTTTTATACCTGCTTTAATATTGTAAACATAGGAAGAATCCATTTAATATCTTACTTTCTATCAGAATAATTGTCTTAAAAGTTACTTATAATTGTAACTAATGTAATACAATGCTACCTTGGTTTTCATCGATAATCTGTCTGAAAAGAATTGGCAAAATCTGAAACTGACGAAAACTGAGACAATTATTTCCATATGAATCAATGTAAATCCAATTAATTCATTCTAGACGCTCCAAAATACATAACAATAACACATTTTATAGAGAATAAATATAGTGTTTAATACTAAAAACAATAAGAAAGTAATATAAAATGAATATAAAAGACTAATATAAAGAATAAGTAAACATTTAACATTGCATTCGAAGGGCTGCTGGTTCTGGAAACTTTCTTTGGTCCCATGATAGAGCTAAAAGGAAAGAAAAGCAATGAAATTGTTTGGCTAGATGCACAGAGTAATGCTCACACAATGAGAAACAATGCCACACTGAGCACTGCAATGCGTGGATCCTTCTTTGTTTCTCAAAATTAGCAGTGAGGTCATGTGGGCATGCCGACGAAAACTGAGGCAAATTTTTTGTGAAAAAAATCAACGTAAACTGAAACCGACGATAACCAAAGAGGTATCACTATACATTATTAATTCTGTATAGTCCAAGTTAGTATACTTTACATAGATTTCAACAACTTTATCCAATATGCTTGCACTTATATGTAATCTGTTACCTATATACTCTGTTCTGTTCCTTTTTTAATATTTAAATCTTTGTAAAATATCACATGCTATTACAGCAATCATTAATAAATATAAAATTTACAGCAATTATAATTAATCAGAAATGAACAAAATATCAATGATCTTAATTAATAAATTAAGTTCTATTAAATATGCAATATTTATAAAATTTTATATATTTTCATTTCTTTTGCTCTTGATATCCTTGATCTTGC